CGGTACTGGAGGTGACGTGCGCTGAGCGTGCCGTGTTCTACCGTGAACGGATGTCGAATTACTACGGTCCGTTGCCGTACAGTCTGTCGCTGTGGCTCGCCGAGGTGCCGTATCTTATCGTCGTGATCAGCATGTTCGTGTCCATCGAGTACTGGCTGGTCGGTTGGAGTGATAACGTGAAGGATTTCTTCTTCTTCATGTTCATCTTCTACCTCTACACGTCGGCGTGTACGTACGTGGGTCAGTGGATGTCTGCTTTGATGCCGAACGAGAAGGTGGCGAACGTGGCTGTGGGTGCTCTGTCGTGTTTGTTCAACCTCTTCTCGGGCTTCCTGCTGCCTCGTACGGCAATGAAACCGGGCTACAAATGGTTCCAGTACTTGATGCCTTCGTACTACTCTCTCTCTGCATTGGCTGGTATTCAGTTCGGCGACAATCAGGACATTATTACCGTGACAACAAAAGGTGTTGCATCAAATTTGACAGTGGCAGCGTTCGTCAAGAAGACATACGACTTCCACCCCGAGCGCAAATACGACTTCATGGCGGGGCTACTCGTGATTTGGGCCGTGCTTCAGATAGCTATTTACCTCACGTTCAAGTACGTCAGCCACCTCAAGAGATAAGCAACCGGTAGCTTTCGTCCGCGGACGACTTTACTTTTTCAAATACATTGAATTGGTTTCTAGCATTTTAGTTTGCTGTTTTCGATCGACAATGAGAAAAACGTACGTTGATCACGTACCTGACCAAATGATCGTAATCATTTGTCCTACGTGGTCGCTGGTGAGCCACCACACTACCGTACTTGTACTAAACAATGTCAATGAAACTGCTTGAACAATCTCCACTTCAAAGCCAGACGGATTCAGATCATGTTGCTAGAGACTGTTGTTCTAGGCCAGCCTCAAGCCAGGCTGTATCCACGACATGGTCTCGTCATCTTTTGATCAAGCGCGCCCTTCGCTTGGCATCAACAGTTGTCCATTGCCTTTCTTAATCTTCAAGGGTATACGACTCACGGATACGCAGCATATAGACAAATTTGCTTTTTTTCTGGCGTTCACTTTCCACTCACTCTCCAATACGCAAAATACCGGAAGAGCTAATCGATGGCGCAGTCACGCGAACGGAGTCCAGCCAAACTTGCCAAGCACCGCCTGACGAACCGCGAGTGCATGCGTAGAGCAAGACAACGCCAACGTCAGGAACTGCAAGACATGCAAACCACAGTTTCAGCACTTGAAAGACAGTACGCAGAGCTGTCCCAGCGCTCGGCCAAAGCAGCACAGAGCAGTGATACACCCTTAACCCAGATATATCAGGATGGAATGTATGCCGAAGCCGTCGCTGCAGCTAAGCGCCTTGGAGCGGAGAATCTTTACCTGCAGACCATGCTCAAACAGAAGATTATCTGGGAACGCCAAGTGCAACGGATTGTGGACTTCGACGCGAGCGATATAGTGCGCCCATTTAATTCTCAGAGCCACACGTGGAAGCTGAATCTCGACGTGCTGGACGAAGCCCAAGCCGAGAAAGAACTTGGATTCCGTCGCTTGACCGACATGGATTTTACACGAATCATCTTGGACAATAAGCGCGGCACCCGTCATGTTGAAAATCGACTACTCCAGACGGCGAGCAGCACACGTTCCCACCGCATGCAAGCTTTTGGCTGGGATATTATACAGCGAATCGAAGGCGGTGTGATGGAGTTCGTATTCACGAAGAAATTTTCAGGACTTAATGTCCACGAAATCTTGCAGACAACATTGGCGAATGACCTGGAGCTTGAATTGTGCAGGAAGATTAAAGCGGAGACGCTGCGTCTGCAAGTTATCCAGCAGCTGGGTCCAAACGCTTTTGTGTTCGTACACGACGTGTCCTCCACCGGCGATATCGGTATCTTCAGGTCGGTCGTCGCACGGTTTTTAATTGAAGACACCAGAGAGTTCCAGCTGAACACGTCTGCTTTGAGCAAGTCTAGTGGTTTGGTTACTGGGAATGGCTATGTATTGGGCACCCACAGTGTTATCACTGACAAAGCGCAGCATTTGTCAGATGAAGAGTTGTCTGGAAGGCTCGCATGGGCCGACGTTTCTCTGTCCGTCGGGATATACGACGTGGTCGACCCGACTACAGGTGAGACGTACCAGTACGTGTGTTGGGCAGGTCGAACAGATTATTGCAGCGAGGAACACGCTCAACGTAACGCCTCTGATACAGTACAATGCATGCTGCGCTGGGAGATGTTAGTGATCGCACCGGCACTCAATCTTGTCTCAACTAGTAATTAAATGTGGAGAAAATTATACGGGGTTACCAGTACGCAGCAATGGAAGCTACTCAAACAGTTATCACTTATGTAAATCCGGAAAACTAATGATGCACTTTGCAAGGCGAAGTTCTGAATACTTACAGATATTTTGAAATTCTTGTTGGAACTGTAAAGACTAACATTGTGGTTTCCACAAGAGATTTCGTCCGGAGGACTGTCATTCATGCAACAAGAATCCAAATTGACTAAGAAAAGCAGTTCATCGTACCGTACTAGCAACATGAGCGCGGTGCCGCCACCTATTACATTTAAAACCACTCGTTGATGTCATCGGCGTAAATTCTCTTGCAGAGAAGACGACGATAACGCAATATACCGTCTAACTTTCAATAACTTTAACTAAAACTTCAACCGCTTTGGCAGAAGATCTTACCAAGTCACCAGGGCTGATAAAACCTGCTGTTTTTGAATGCAATAGAGTTTTATTGTGGCTTAACAAAAAACTAGTTTATTTTTAACTTTGAGTATGGTTTTTGGTGTTTACACGGCTTTTGACTTATTTGTAGGGGGTCAATGTTGTTTGGAACGTCTAGAATGTATTTGAAATCAATGCGGTGAGAAATTAACATCTACCAACTTAATTCAACATAAATAGAGGATCTCTGAACAATAAAAAAAGAAAATAACATCTATCTCGCGTAAGATTTTGACGCGAGCAGTAAATTTGGTCCGCACACTACTGCAAGACAACACGGCTAGGAAGAATCACTACACAATGAAGCATAGTTAATTGTTCAAGTAATATTTTCGATCACAGATCCTCAAAAGTCGAATTTCTTAATAAGGAATAATGATTAAAAAAATATGGTATTAATAGTAAATTATGACGAAGTGGACTGAGGGAAATGCCATCAAAGGCTGTTGAGATTGTACTACATGGCTGCCAAGTTGGATGCGGCGCTACCTGTTGCAGTAACGGCAGACATTATTCAGCCGAACATCTCAATATTGATGAATGTTTGTGGTATTGGTACCTCGCTCATCTCAACTACCGCTGGGCGTTTCCCATTAACGGTAGATACCACAGCTGGTTGGATATCTACTTTACAGCTAAGAATATGAGAAGTAGGTAGTCCGTTTTCCTTCCTTTTAAAAAGTTAAACTTGTTGGTAAATTAGTAACATTTGTCGGATAAAAAATGCATGTAAATGTCCCGGACTTTAAACCAAGGTTGGTAAGTGTCGAAAATCGGGAGTTAGAGCAAGTTTGATGCTACCGTTGTCCTCGCCAAGGCCAAGGGGAACAAGTAGATGATCTAGTAGAGCCAGAGTAGGATACATGTGTTCAACTGTATCCCCAGCCAGACACAAGATATCTGTAAAAAAAAATTAATAATGTCAAGCCATCGATCCCGACAATTGAAACTCAACGTGGTTCGTTAGTTTAACGAACTGGTCGTGAGATGTACACTGCGTACAGTACAGGGGTTGCCTAAGGCGCTTCGCCATTGCACCAGACTGCGAAGATCTGAGGATCCGACGCGTGGGATGATGTGGCACGACTCGCTGTGTATAACCCGGGTAAAGCTGTGCTTTTCACACCTCAAAGCACTCTGAACTCATGAAACGCACGACTCAGGCATTGATCCGCCGCGCTCATTCCTCCTCTTAAGTCACGAGTTAGCACTACCCGTAGTTCTCAGTATGTTTCAACGCAAGTTAACCCCAGCAGAGCAGGAGGCGCGTCGCGTCAAGAACCGCGTTGGCATGCGTAAAATCCGCCTGCGACAACGACAAGAGCTGCTAGCAATGAAAAGCACAGTAATTGAGCTCGAGAAAGAGTATGCAGAGCTGTGTCGTCGGGCTGAAGCTGCAAATAAAGACACCGAGTTGGCTACACTACACATGGATCACAGCGACGAACAAGGCCACCCAGACTTGGCGGCGCTGGCAAAACAACTCGGAGCCGAGAAGCTGCTTCTACGCTCGATGCTCAAGCAAAAGGCAGCGTGGACGCTCCAGATCCAGCGCGTTCTCGACTTCGAAGCTAGCAGTTTGGCTGCCACACAGAAGTTTCAGAGCGCTGTGGAGGTGCAACTTGATACGGTGGATGAGGTTCAGGCAGAGAAAGAGTTGGGGTTCCACCCTCTGACTGAGTGGGATCTGACTCGTACCATTCTAGACAATAAACGGGATATCCGCCACGTCGAGAATCGACTGAACCCTCCATCCGGACTTGTGGACAAACGCACGCATCGAATGCAAGCCTTTGGTTGGGACATCATACAACGCGTCGAAGGTAGTGTGATGGAGTTCGTCTTCTTGAAAAAGTTCACCAACCTCAACGTGCTCGACATCATGCACAAGACGTGGACGAATGACATTCAGTTGTCAAGGTTCAAGACTGTCAAAGCCGAAACGTCCAGACTTGAAGTTCTCCAGCAGATGAACCCAAACGCCTACGTGTTTGTACGTGATGTTGATTCTCCTAGCGATATCTCTATTTTTCGTTCGGTATTCGTACACTTCTTAGTCGAAGCGACCAAAGAGTTCTCATGCTCAGACGGTAGTACACTTACTGGCACGGGGTACGTCTTGGGTACACAGAGCGTCGCTGTTGATTACCCCAGCGACAGCATCCATCGAGATGAAGCTGGTCGGAAAATAGCGTGGGCCGACCTCGCCCTTACTACTGAAGCGTACGACGTGGAGAACGCGATGACAGGCGAAAAGTATCAACAAGTTGTATGGGCTGGCAGAACCGACTTTTGCACTGAAGAAGACGTGCAACGAAATGCTGCGGATACACTGCAAGGCCTGCTTCGGTGGAAGATGAAGATTATCACATCAGTGCTTAACCTCACGTCACTTTGATCTTTACTCACCATTCCAGAAAATAGTATTTATCGTAGTTTAGTAAAAATCCATGGGTTGCGCCTGCAAAATATTATTAAGATTTATCACTGTTGCAACGGCTTGCTTCTTGAATCCACTTGAGGAATCTTCGGCTGTGTGTTACCCATTTCAATGTCCGGAAAATAAACGCTCTTAATAAGTGCAAATAAACCGGTTTCTAACGAAGCACAAAGCTGAACGCATCTCGTGGTTGTGGTGGCATTGGAGTGCCTATGATCATTATCACAAACATGGCCGGCCTTTTGTAACTTTGATAGGCCCCTCCACTTCAAGGTATTCCTCTTGTACGTAGTCTCAATCACCATTGTAGGAATTCGCCCTTATGTGATTCGTACTTTGACTACCGGGTCCACGAGACATCTCTGAATAGAGCGACCCTACCTTTGTTTAATAACCTAAAATATTATCGCGAAACACGGCTAGAAATGTCCTTTCCCTATTAGCTTATCATATTATCTAAATCAGATTTGCGTATCTGCAAAACAGGGTATAGAACCGATTATGGTGCAATTTCTGTTAATCGATTGGAGTGGTGAATCCAGTTAGAATAAACCACTAATGAATAAACCACTTCGCCAAAATTAGATAATGAGGCAAGAGGTGCCTTGTGTGTCTATTGAGCAAAACAGCCATTATTTGTACGCCGGATAAATCTTCTACATAGCTTCCTGTTACTACCAGGTGCCCCGTGGTCCTTTGCAATCACTTAGGATTCACCTAGCCTTGCTGGAAGCATAGATGCACGGCTAGCTTGCTGTATTTGTTTAGCCGATTAAGTTTGTAATGTCGAGTTTGAACGTGACATTCTGGCTTATTTACTTACAAATCAGTTTCGAGTCCGATTAAGCATACGGTTCAATTTGCTAATCACTTGATGATATCGGAGTCTAAATTGATATGGCGATTCTAAATAGGAGATCACACAGACTAAATAAGTCTAAATAAACCTGCTTTGATAATTCGGACTTCCAATTACTATTTTGCTTTCAATACCAAACGTCAAGCCTATCATGTCACTTCAGTCGGTCGTGAGCTGTAGCACCACAATCATCTCGGCGCAGCCCTCGATCCTTGCGTCAGAATATTATGGATACAGTACTGCATCCCGTTTTCGCTCCCTCGGAATTTGATAAACTTCCGGATATAATGTGTCTTTTGCAAAATATATCCTCTACATTCCTTGCTGAAACCTGAAGTGTTTGCAAACCCTATATGGTCCACCCCTGCGAAAACGGGGCGCACCACTGTATCAGCCACTACACACCATCGTCATATTTGATGCCTGAAACGCAGCATCAACCGTTGCAAGAGTAGACACCACATCTTTATTTCACCGGTACTTCATTTTCAATTATCGCACCAAGAACAACAAACGACGGTAATCGATGGCGCGACGCAAACGAAGCCCAGCCGATCTTGAAACGCACCGCCTGAAGAACCGCGAATGCATGCGTAAAGCGAGACAACGTAGACGTCAGGAGCTACAGGAGATGCAAACCACGCTGTCAGTACTCGAGAAACAGTACGCAGAGCTGTCCCAACGCTCAGCCAACAAAGCAAAGAACTCAGATGCTGAGCTGCCTAAAACGTGTCGAGATCGAATGTATGCCGAAGTGGTTGCGTTAGCTAAGCGACTAGGAGCTGAAAACCTTTACCTGCAGACCATGCTGAAGCAAAAAATTACGTGGGAACACCAGTTACAACGCGCGGTGGACTTCGAAATGAGCGATATATTTACAACAACAACACGTGTCCAGAGCAGCGCAAGACAGTTAAATCTAGACATACTAACGGAAGACCAGGCCGAGAAAGAACTTGGATTCCGTCGCTTGACCGACTGGGACCTTACGCGGATTATCTTGGACAATAAGCGCGACACCCGTCACGTCGAAAATCTTCTACTCCAGACGGCGGGCAGCACACGTTCCCACCGCATGCAAGCTTTTGGCTGGGATATTATACAGCGGATCGAGGGCGGTGTGATGGAGTTCGTATTCACGAAGAAATTTTCAGGGCTTAATGTCCACGAAATCTTGCAGACAACGTTAGCGAATGACTTGGAACTTGAGCTTTTGAGGAAGGTCAGAGGGGAGACACTTCGCCTGCAAGTCATTCAGCAAATGGGTCCAAACGCTTTTGTGTTCGTACACGACGTGTCCTCCACAGGCGATATTAACATTTTTCGGTCGGTTGTCGCTCGATTCCTAATTGAGGATACTAGAGAAGTTCCACTCAACACCAGTGGTGTAGTAACTGGTACAGGCTACATCTTGGGGACTCACAGTGTGGTTACTGACAAAGCGCAGCATCTGTCCGTAGAAGAATTGTCTGGAAAGCTCGCATGGGCCGATGTAGCTCTATCCATCGGAATATACGACGTCGTTGACTCGATAACAGGCGAGACCAACCAATACGTGCGTTGGGCTGGTCGCCATGATTATTGCAGCGAGGAACACGCTCTGCAGAATGCATCTGATACTCTGCAGTGCATGCTGCGCTGGGAGATGTCAGTGATCGCACCGGCACTTAATCTGGTCTCGATTAGCTGCACTTAAAGGGTTAAATGTGACATACAGATAGAAACGAATAACTTTGTATAATATACATATACTTGTCCATTGCGTGCGTGTAGAGCAGGAAATGACTTCGGCTTTTCATGTAGACATGCCACGCGTTCATCGTACCACTGATTTTGCTGACAGTCGTCAACACCGATCGCGTGGATGCAATTAACTAGACATAGCTTGAAGCTCCAGATTGAAGCAGAGCGATCCGGTCTTGACTCAAGACCCTTGACACCAGCTCGTCTACAAATCATTTTATCGCCGCCACACAGCATCATACAGATTCACCTGATTACACACAATCTCATCCATCCCTCTCGTCATCATTTGTCTGTGGATTGGTGGCAATCTCGACAACGCTGCGATCGTTCTCGAGTGCCATTGAATGCCGACAGCTACAATAGCAAAACTAAGTGTGGACGCACTTAATATTTGTAGCTGGTTGACTGCACTGGTAAGATTCGTGAAATAAGAACCACAAAAACTGGAAGACACACTGCGGAAGCTCAATATGAGATAACCCAGCACGAAACGCAAGACCCCCAGTTGATCGTGGAAGACCACGCGTGTACTTAAATTAAATACAAGCACAGAGAGCACCGTGCAAGCGCTACTTGCGTCGAGTGTCGTAGCCTTCACGCGTCAACTCCCGTCGTTATACTGGCTGAAGTATAATCTGCTGAAACAAAATGCTGAGCGGAGTGGTCACGGAAAGAGGGCTATCTCGAAATTTGAAATACAGACACAGAAACAGCGGAAACTTGCCTGGACCAACATCTCCAATAAAATCGACGTTGTCAATAGGCGAGTCGTATTGGCGTGTTTGTTGTATCCCTGTGAAGGGATACGTTCAGTGCAATTTTAACACCACAGCTCGCTTATTTCATGGAGATGCTTCTTGCACCACTCGACACTTGTTGGTGGGTGACTAATAATGAAATGTCACCAACACGCCAGTACAGGATTTTCAAGTAAAAGTTAACTTTGAATTTAGTTTCCCGAGCGAGATGAACGAGCATGAATTGTCACTCCCTCGGACACCCTTTTCGATCGCGTCCTCTAGCGAATAGTATCAAGACAAAAACAAAAAAAAAAAAATTATGAGAATGTTCAGACTGGTCTTGTTTAACGTCCAAGATAATCCGGCGTGGGTGTAACACAAAACACTATAATATGCACACTAAGTACTAGTATACAGATTTCACCAGGCAAGCAAGCAGGCGAAGAATGCAATGCCGGCGCTTGTACTACGGTAGATTAGACAATGGCGACCATGACCGAGTGCTCGATACCGGCGATTTTCGAGCCGTCGATTAGAGGCGTGCTTCTTGTCACCACACGATCCATCTCTGTTGCTATTACAGTGGCTATGAATACACGTGGCACTTCCAACACTTGTTGGCATGCGTCATGCCCAGTACAGTGAAGTGTTTACGCCCAAAAGAACGCCATTCATGATGACGATGAACCTAGACGTGGTTCTTACTACATGCGGCTACTGCCATCCGCTTAACCTGCTCTATAGTCCACACGGAGTCTGCCACACGGTGATTGCATCCCACAGTTGTTGCCTACAAGACGGCGGCGCAAGAGCCAATGGTATTGTCTCTTGGCCATCTTTGATGATGTGGCATGGCACATCGCTTGTCTATCCCGGTTAACTCTCTTGCTCTCCTCAGGCCACAAAGTACTCACTCCTGATAGTAGCGCACGCTCAGCTTCTTCGAAGTCATTCTCTCTTTCATCATGTACCGACGCAAGTTAACCCCAGCAGAGCAGGAGGCGCGTCGCGTCAAGAACCGCGTTGGCATGCGTAAAATCCGCCAGCGACAACGACAAGAGCTGCTAGCAATGAAAAGCACAGTAATTGAGCTCGAGAAAGAGTATGCAGAGCTGTGTCGTCGGGCTGAAGCCGCAAATAAAGACACCGAGTTGGCTACACTACATATGGATCACAGCGACGAACAAGGCCACCCAGACTTGGCGGCGCTGGCAAAACAACTCGGAGCCGAGAAGCTGCTTCTACGCTCGATGCTCAAGCAAAAGGCAGCGTGGACGCTCCAGATCCAGCGCGTTCTCGACTTCGAAGCTAGCAGTTTGGCTGCCACACAGAAGTTTCAGAGCGCTGTGGAGGTGCAACTTGATACGGTGGATGAGGTTCAGGCAGAGAAAGAGTTGGGGTTCCACCCTCTGACTGAGTGGGATCTGACTCGTACCATTCTAGACAATAAACGGGATATCCGCCACGTCGAGAATCGACTGAACCCTCCATCCGGACTTGTGGACAAACGCACGCATCGAATGCAAGCCTTTGGTTGGGACATCATACAACGCGTCGAAGGTAGTGTGATGGAGTTCGTCTTCTTGAAAAAGTTCACCAACCTCAACGTGCTCGACATCATGCACAAGACGTGGACGAATGACATTCAGTTGTCAAGGTTCAAGACTGTCAAAGCCGAAACGTCCAGACTTGAAGTTCTCCAGCAGATGAACCCAAACGCCTACGTGTTTGTACGTGATGTTGATTCTCCTAGCGATATCTCTATTTTTCGTTCGGTATTCGTACACTTCTTAGTCGAAGCGACCAAAGAGTTCTCATGCTCACACGGTAGTACAATTACTGGCACGGGGTACGTCTTGGGTACACAGAGCGTCGCTGTTGATTATCCCAGCGACAGCATCCATCGAGACGAAGCTGGTCGGAAAATAGCGTGGGCCGACCTCGCCCTTACTACTGAAGCGTACGACGTGGAGAACGCGATGACAGGCGAAAAGTATCAACAAGTTGTATGGGCTGGCAGAACCGACTATTGCACTGAAGAAGACGCGCAACGAAATGCTGCGGATACACTGCAAGGCCTGCTTCGGTGGGAGATGAAGATCGTTGCGCCAGCACTCAACCTAACGTTACTTTGACATTCAATCCCAGTTGCAACAACAGTCACTCCTTCATCTGGTTATGTAAAATAAATGTGAGATTCTTGTCTCTTTTGAGCCACCATTTGCCACTTCCTTCTACAGGATGTTGCACCATTCGTTGCCGTAGATGCTGGCGTTATTCAGTTCTCCACAGTTTCGGCATCTCCAGCTCGTGCAGCCAGCGGGAAGCGGGTATGGCGCTGAGCACTTGTTGCACAGTGCGTTGCTCTGCGCGTCGCGGCGAATGTTGGAGTTGTTAGGCACCACACGAGTCTGGACGGCTGGAAAGCTACCGGGCGAGGCAGGCACGGCTTCGACCACAGGGCGGCCGTGTGCATCCACTTGGACGGGCTGGCCTGTGGCCATCGGGTAGCTCGGCGCGTCAACGGTTTTCTGCGGCTTCTTCGGAGGGTCCATTGTTGCCTTGAGAGTTTGGCTGAAAATGAGTGTGAGAAAAGAAAACAAGGGGTCAACCAATGAGAGGAAGACATTCTTATAGTGACTGGATTTTTTTTAGGCGATAAAGAACCCCTCAATAGTAATTCCATTAATTTTTTTTTATAATTTATCGCCCTTATTTAGAAGGCACGTGTTCGTGTGCCCATCTAGAAGACAATAGAGAGGTTTCTGCATCTAACAATTCCCAGTCCAGTCCTGCGTTTAGACAAGGGACCAAGATAGCACAAAGCTACATTTCTGTGGCCTCCTTTTCTATTCGCAGTCTGCAAGCATCAATATTAATTTTGCGAGGTGCTTAAGTGCCAGCTACCACGTAAATTACAAGTGTAACGAAGAAATTGGGAACAACTTGGCGATCGAGCACGACATCCAGCCAGACGGAGAGATCCCCGTCGACCCCAACGCCACGAGCTCACCGCCTCCTCTCCTAGATAGACCCGGACACGTGCGTGCCTTTCCTCCACGGGTTTGAAGCCCACGTAGTAACACGACGTACGCGCGAGAGCCTGTATATAGTGCTACCGTCCAGAGTGGATCTTCCCGGGCAAGGATGTCGCTACTACACTCGCGTGCACGGCAGATACAACGACTCGGGTTAGCTGCACGTACGCAGAACAACAGCTTCAACGGTGAGAGGGCACAGACGCGCAGTAGTCATTGATCCTCGCTGCCACGATGTGGGTCGGCATGTACAGCTTGTCCGAGAAGGTGTCGTGCACGTAGTCGATCATGTGTAGAAAAATTCTGCTTAGCCGTCCACGAGAGCTTCCAAAAACCTGTAGCATGTCGTAGTAGCGCATTGGGGTAGCGAGGCGGCGAATCATGATGCACAGAGCCTCGATACCAGGACAGCGATCGTGAACTTTGCCATTGTAGACAGTAACCACTTCATCTGGAATACGCAGCAACGAAAACAGCTCATGGATTCCAGCCACGTCGAAACGAAACTCATGCTCACAGTTAGCGTTAGTGTAGCGTGCCAAGTCAAAGGACACGTTAGGAATTAAGGGCCGCTCTACGCAGTCAATTAGGCTCAGGTAACGCATCTTTTTCTTGCGGCTGAAGTTCCGCCGCGTCATGATGTACCATTGCAGCAACTCGACTTGGTTGACCATGGTACGTAGAAAAACAGTTGGACGGGGAGAGCTGTGCTGATAAATTGATTGTTTAAGGTCGCCAACAGAGAAAACTTTTCTTGAAACTTGCAAAATCTCAAGATCATCTGAAAGCAAATTCCTGGGTAATACACATAAATGAGCCCGCGCAAAACAAATCAATGCTAGTTAACCATTCGATTAGATACACCATTGCAAAGATGAATGTCTCTTCTACAAAATGAGACCTTGTCGAGAAAATTTTATTCAGTCGTTTTCACACAAAGTTTGTTTGAAAAAGTTGTCTCCGATTCGGCGAGACAATTTCAAAAAAATTTTTATTGGTCAATCCAGTGTAAAATTGTCATACGAATCGTTTGGTACCACTCAAAAGCTCAAATTTGAAGCCAATCCCACCTAAAAAGCTTTGCCAACAAATCGCTTTTAAAATCCAGGTGTATATTTTGAGATGAAGATGCTAAATTTAGAGATTCCAGATTAGCATCATTTTGATTTGCTGACGATTTAGATTGTTCGAGTGCGTTTCTTCTCCTGCTGAGTGGGCTGTTTTTCCTTGTGCTTCATCAGTTAATTCAGCCGCTGCATCAGTTGCAGACTCAGAGGCAGCGGCCCTCGCTCGTTTCTTTTTCTTCGTTGCTTCTTTGCGCTTCTCGGCGCGAGCTTTCTGAATAGCTTTCGCCTTACGTTCATCCTCATCGTTGGGCGGGTCGTACAGTGCATCGTTGATAAACTCCTCGGGAACGTAGCGGCGTACCTGGTTGTAGATGGTTTGGATCTTTTCACAGTTTGGCGGTGGTTTCGGCAAGGGTTCTAGGTGGGCCGTAAAGAGCACTTGGACACGCGTCGCATCCGTCACAATTCCGTCATACTTGCGGCGCAGGTCTTGGACCACAGCATCAGAGTCAGGGCCTTTCTTGCACGCAACTACACCTGGATTATCCTCGCGCATCTCAAATAGCTGATACTTCTGTATACCGATGAGATTCTTGTAGGCATCCTTGGCCACGTTTCGATACTCTTTGATAATATGGTTTTCCGCCTCAATGTGCACTAGTGCGGACGTAGATGACGCATCGTTGACCGCGTCAATAAGTTGGTCCGTCGTCCGGATATCCAAACGAGCTAAGTGCTTTCGGACATGGCCAAAACCACGGTCTACAGCATTCTTAGTGTGTCCTTTGACAAAAAATTTCAACTTGATCACCTCGAGATCAGACATGTGGGCTAATAGCATTCGCACGACGTAGTTGTTCTTGTTCTGGCCACCACAATTGTCTGCATATATCGTAAGACGGCGAAACCCAGCGGGTAGGATGATTCGGTTGATGAAGTGATACAACATTGAGTTCACTTCGTCAGTCCCCTTACCGGTGACGGTCTCATCGTACACGTAATTATACTGCATCGCTTCGTTAGCGTAGTAAATTCCAAACATGTTCACACTTCGGAGCGACAAGAAGTACCATTGGGACGGGGTGCTGCTGATACTTGGTAGTGTGAGATTCTGGCTGAAGTCCATGATGATAACAGCGTGTTCTTCATCTGCCGATGCAAGATCCTTCTTGTATTCTTCCCTATAAATCAAAATGATGTTAGTATCCACCCATTCAACAGACGTGTAAATCAAATTGATTCTAGTATCCACATTACCTCATCAGTCTGGCAGCAGCGGTATGCTTTCCGAATTCTTCAGACTCCGCTGCAGTAGCACCACTACGCATGCGTGCCCAATAAATGCTGCACACATCGCAGACATTGCTACGTGGAGAGCGAATGCGTATGGTAGGGCAGAGCTTGGACAAGTACTGCCGGAAGGTACTTGGACTTGGCTCCCGCACACGTAAGCGAATTTGCTCGACGTAGTTGTGCATCTCTTGGTAAAGCTGATCCCACGTGAAATACGGCGGTAGCAACGTGTATTCTGCGTCGGAATAGTACAGTTTGACGACTTCGTCCTCGGTTTTCTGCTTTCTCACGCGTACTGGCACCACATCACCAGCAGAGCGAGCAAATTCTTCAAACCAGGAAACTAGCCAACGGAGATCAACTGCACTTGCGTGCTGGTTAAGGCGGTTACCGTGAGCTTTTATGGAGAATATGCCTTCTTTAATGCGCGTTCTGTAGCGTGTGCCAGTCGCTGTCGACACGCCGTAGCATGCGCACCAAGCCCTTCGACACACACGACCCACTATAGGAAGGTAATAGTGAAACTGTTGTCGTAATCCGTGATCTCGATGGCGAAGAACAGTGTCCGTTTGCATAAGCACAGCTAACGTCGTAATGATATTCTGCTTCTTCTCTCCGTTTGCCATTTGAGAAAGTGAACACAATAGCTGCTCGAGCTCCTTTGCCTTGCCCTCCAAGCACTTCTGCTCGCACTTATCTTCGCGTATGAGCCGGCTCACCTGGTCTCTAAGCTCTTCGCCAATCAAAATGATGCTAGTATCCCCAGGGCCACCAACCTCGTTTTCACTTGAATCGGCGATCTCGCCTCCACTTGATCCATCGTCTGCTTCCGGAACCCAGTCGCTGTCTAAGCTGCAGTCGCTGATGCCACTTGCTGCCTCCTCATTTTCAGCGTCAACATTGTGGACACTTTGCGGGATGTCAGGAAGCGCTGCTAGTTCCTCCAGTCTGGATCTTCTTCGCTGATACACCTGGCTAAATTTAGACATTGTAGAGAAATCACCCCCCTGGCAAAATCACTTAAGTACGAAAATCAGTGGACAAACTTTAACGGCGTTTATCTCGACAACGCAAATATGGTTAACTAGCATCACGGTGTTTTGCGCGGTCTCAAATGTAGCTTTTACGTCAGCTGATCTTGAATGGACTGGGATCAACGAGTGCAGAAACCTCTCTAATGGGACGAGACAATAGTGCCCACCTGCAACCAGCCGATCCCACTTACGCCCATCCATAAAAAGAGCCAGCTCATAAAGTATACGCGTTTCAAATGTATATCCGCATAATAGTTGCTGTTGACATTGAGCTTTGGACGGGTGAGAGTGCATCAACATCCGTGTATTAATTCGTTTTTATCACACTTCACGCGTGCATCAAATTGGGTCGCCTCGTGTATTTACTTAGATGCACATATGTAAGTATCTGTAACGCAAGTACTGTAAGGTTTTCTTGCCGAGGATTCCTGGCGAAGGAGCTCCAGCAAACAGTTCAAAGGCAAGCAGGACGTAAATACCACAAGTGTAGCTGTCCGTTTGAATCCCTAGATGAGACCCGTAGCTTTGAGCCCTACACCCATCCAATAGTTGGTCCGTAATTAACTGTTTCACCACTTGCGCAGCTAAACGAACTCCATTCTTGTACGAAGATCCCATTGGATCGTAGTAGTACAGCTTCTTTTTCTCCCCGATGCCAACCATTATTGAGCACCAATGGTTTTGATTGCAATTCACAGGTATAAGGAATTTTCCGGTAGGAGCACCGAAGAACAGGGTGACCAGAGCTTGATTGTCCGTCCAAATTTTGCCGTTGACAGGGACGCTGATCATGTGGGGGCTTGCCACGTTCAGAATTGGATTGGCACTAAACAGTTTGGTCATCACTGTAGTCATAATTTCGTCGCCAAGACTTCCTTTTGCTGCAAGGTCAAGCACACCCATCTACATAAATATTGTCAGTATTAAATTGAGCCATTCGTTATGCTCGAACTTACCTCGTGGGAAAGTAATGGTAGTTGTTTCAGTTTTGCACCCATATCTGAATCTTCCAGTACTTGAAAGTGCTTGTAGACAGGTAATTTAAAGTTGATCGTTGAAATCCAGGTCACAGCTCTTTCCACTAACCGCACAGCTGCCGTTGCTCGGTGGTACTCCTTCATCACCTTGAGCGTTTCCGTGGTAAAAACTCCAACACCTGGGATTTATATAGCGATATCAAGTTCAGCGACACCTATGCGTTTTTTTCTGCAAAGCAATAACTTTGACATCCCATTTGCGTAGCATGTCCTTCGGAAACGCTCTAGCCATTTCGTCTGCTGTGATGAGCGTCTTTGAACTGGGTAGATTACTCAATTCCCAGGCAATTGGGGACTTTGGCTTCTTGGTAAACACAAATATTCGAAACTTTCTCAGCCGTTCGGCCGCGGAGATGAATGTTGGGATTTTCGCCAGAATCTCTGCGATAGTCTTTATGCTCAGACCCATATTGTGCAATTCTGAGTCATCATTGGTCATCGTAATTGCTTGGTTGCGCTTCGACTTAACTACAGCAGCCTTTGTCTTTGGTCTTCCTCTAGATTTTGGAGGTGGATCAATATCAAACTCATCATCTGCTAGTAGAAGTTGTTGACCAATCTCCACGTGTTGCTCAGCTGGAAAATTTGCCCACCTCAGATTGTAAGGTGCCCGCCTCAGCTGGTAGCGTGGCAACCTCTGGTTGTAAAGCATACACACCTTCGAGCGGCCTTTAACCAGTCTCATGTTGCTGTAATTCATGAAGCGTTGTCGTGACTAGGTTCTCCTCCAGTAAAGAGGCCTCCACGTCGGCCACGTTGTGTTCACTGACCATGAGCTCGGAAACTTAGTCAGCTTCATTATCGGCGTTAAATGCCACCTCGTCCTCCAATCGTCGCGTTTCCAACGGCACTTCCAGAGGTACGCCCAAGGTTGTACGTATCGTCGACTCGAACCCATCACCGTACACATCCTCCGGAGCTGCCATGGGTGGAAGTACGGTAGATATTATCTGTCGAGCAGTTTCCTCACTTTCGCCACGCTTAAATCGCCGAGCTACCTCCTTGAGTACGTCAAGAGCTGTGCGGTACTGACGCATGCCCATACCAGCCATGGTCTCAGTAATTTCACTTGCTACGTACTTGGCCTCGCGAAATTTTCGATTTGTATTCCACGGCTTATCCTTGTCGTCAAGTACTAATCCAACCGAGAACGCCTTGCCAGGAATATCGTCTATATGTACTTCAGCACGTAGAGAAGACAACAACCATCTTGATGGCAAAAACAGAGTTGGAATCGCTGCTTCCATGCAAAGTGCTTTCCGAATGTAGAATACATGCCTACAGGGAAGCAGACGCGCCGACATAAACAAGCACGAACATACCCAGTTCTTCTTATTCACGGAATACTCAGCTCTTGGTTCGTCTAAAGCCTCGTCACATCCAGACTTATTCGTAATGGCAATGAATCCAGGAATTGTTTCGTGAAAATTATACCAGGCTGCTCCACTCATTGCGAAAGTGTACTACTGAAATATCAGGCCACACGCGTGTTGACTCACCAGATTTGCTAATGAGGTCATTTCACGGACATAGTTTGGATTATGAACCATCGAAACTTTGTGTACTTCACCATCAAAATTTCGCTCACTTCTGGTTTGGTAACAGATAATGGACGCTACACATTCATCCAGCCCCATGAAAGAGCTCATCGTGTCCTTCAGCTGCTTCCAGGATGACTCGAGCCGATTACTTGTGTTTTTCTCCCAATGTTGCAGCACTCTGACGCTCGTACGCACACCACACCATCTTGCAACTATCGTAGTTCTTGCAGAAATAACTCTCGAACGCATGCGCTTCTGCGCTTAACTGTTCTGTGTGACGAGGAGGATTCTCGAGTACTTGGATTGAGTTGTTTGTGTGGTGAAGCGCTTGAGAAATTTGGAGAATGTGAGACGGATGGAAATGGACCAATCAGCTGCGAGGGGTCGCCTACTTCAAGTGCGCAACCAGAACCATCATTCGGACTCGAACCTTCATTCTGGAGGCACCGTCATTCTGGTCAAGAGTGGATCGACAAGGTGCAATCATCGCGATCCGATCTGGTCCGATATAGGTGCAATGTTTTCGATAACCCCGGTTCAAAGTGGTTGTAGATTGACTGATTTGTGCCCATTGATGGGTACCACAAAGGGCCAGTTTGAGCAATCATGGGATGGGTAGAAGGTAGTGGACCGCTAGGACTTAAAGGAATAACAGAGTGGAATTTGCCTTATCAAGAACAAGTGTCTTCGGTCCTAGATTAGAAGGCTGTAGCGGAAGTACATTGGTCCATACAGTCATCAAGTTAATTCTACCTAGGACACACGTCAGTCGCCGGAGTTAGCA